ATGACTATTAATTTAGCCGGGCGCGGTGGCTCAAGCCTGTAATCCCAGCACTTTGGGAGGCTGAGGCGGGTGGATCACGAGGTCAAGAGATCAAGACCATCCTGGTCAACATGGTGAAACCCTGTCTCTACTAAAAATACAAAAAATTAGCTGGGCATTGGTGGCGTGTGCCTGTAGTCCCAGCTACTCAGGAGGCCGAGGCAGGAGAATTGCCTGAACCCAGGAGGCGGAGGTTGCGGTGAGCCGAGATCGCGCCATTGCACTCCAGCCTGGGTAACATGAGTGAAACTCCGTCTCAAAAATAAAATAAAATAAAATAAATAAATAAATAAATAAAATGACTATTAATTTAAAAATTAAACTAGCTATCTTCACATTAACAGTGGCTGAAATGGGGGGATATAGGACGAAATGGGATATGGGATGAGGGCTGGGAAGAGAGCTAAGACTGGAGGCATGGTTGAGTTTGTTGACTTATGTGGTATCAAGATATGGAATCAAGTTGCAATTGCATTTGGATTTGGATTTATGGCTTGGGATCAGATTTGGGAACTGAGTCAAGATTTTTTTTTTTTTTGTGACAGAGTCTCGCTCTGTCGCCCAGGCTGGAGTGCAGAGGTGCAATCTCGGCTCACTGCAACCTCCGCCTCCCGGATTCAAGTGAGTCTCCTGCCTCAGCCTCCTGAGGAGCTGGGATTACAGGCACCTGCCACCATGCCTGGCTAATATTTGTATTTTTAGTAGAGATGGAGTTTCACTATGTCGGCCAGGCTGGTCTCGAACTCAGGTGATTCGCCCGCGTTGGCCTCCCAAAGTGCTGGGATTACAGGGGTGAGCCACCTCGCCCAGCCTGAGTAAAGATTCTGATTCAGCATTGAGGTCTTAGTGAAGATGATTTTGGCTACAAGGATCAAGCAACTCTAACCCAGAAAGGGAATCTGAAAAAGTCATAACATGGAGAGGCTCCATCGTTGGTGAATTCACCAGCTCAGTGACCTCATCAAAGACCCAGCTGTCCCTCATCTCTCTGGTGGGCTACCTGCAGTGTTTTGGCGTTGGCCTCGTCCTCTGGTCACTTCTCTCTATGGACCCTGGAGTGCTGCCACAGTTCCAGAATTTGCCTACAGATTAGACACCATCTAGCAGAAGAAAAAAGGCCTCTTTCAGTGCCTCTTTCTGAAAATAAGAAAGTCTTTCCTAGAAGTGACTCTGTGGTCTTCCCCTCCTCACTGGCCACACAGCATCACGTGTCCATTTCCAAACTAATCAAGCAAATGGAATATGGCGTCGGTGCTTGGTTCATTGAGGTTTATAGTCATGATGAGGATGAAATATTATCCAAACAAAATGAAGCCTCTGACAGAAAGGCAAAAGGAATTCCAGGCGCGGTGACTCATGCCTGTAATCCCAGCACTTTGGGAGACTGAGGCAGGCAGATCACGAGGTCAGGAGATTGAGGCCATCCTGGCCAACATGGCGAAAATCCATCTCTACTAAAAATACAAAATTAGCCCAGTGTGGTGGGGAGTGCCTGTAGTCCCAGCTTCTTGGGAGGCTAAGGCAGGAGAATCACTTGAACCTGGGAGGCAGAGGTTGCAGTGAGCCAAGATTGGGCCACTGCACTCCTGCCTGGGCGACAGAGCGAGACTCCATGGAAAGAAAGAGGGAGAGGAAGAGGGAAGGAGGGAAGGAGGGCAGGAAGGAAAAAAGGGAGGGAGGGAGGGAGGGAGGGAGGGTGAATGCTTGGGTATGCAACACTAATGTCTATTATTATGGGTTAAATGTAGAATTAATTGAGTTAGGGGTCAGGATTGAGATAAGGTTTAGGTTCAGGGTGGAGAAATAAATTCCATTTTCAGGATCTAATTTAGAGGTTGAGGTCAGTTCCACCTTTAGGAATGTGTCCAGCAATGATTCCTGTCTTGCTCAAAATAAAAGGCAAAGACCTTTAAGGCCCCCTGTCATCAGCGTCCTGTTATATTTCTGGCCTCATCGCCTGCCCCCATCTCCTTTGGTCACTGTTCTGGTCGCAGTGGTTTTTCTGCTGGGGCACTTCAGACATGCTCCTTGACTAACACACCTGCCCGCTCACTTTGCCTGGAACTCACCACCTTCAAGCAGCCACCTGGATCCCTCCTTCAAGATTCTGCTCAAATGTCACCTTCAACGTGGGGTCTTTGCAGCTGACCTTCCTAATATTATAACCTCAGGGATCCTAGAGGATAGAGGGAATCAGCAACTCCGCAACCCTCTTCCTTGCCTGGATTTTCCCTTATAGCACTTACAACCACCGAACAAGCTCTACATTTTATATGCTTATTTTTGTACTGACAGTACAAAACAAGAGCATCTATGAACACAGGAATTTTCTGTTTTATTACTGCTGTGTCTCCAAGAGCTGGAAGAGTTTCTGGCACAGAGTAAATGTTCAATGGATGCTGGTTGAATGAATACAATGAACAAATATGGATGGACAAAGAAGTTCATCTCAGCATTATTATTATTAAACTATCCAAGTGAGTATGGAATATTACACAATGATTATAAAGGAAGGAGAAGTGATGTAAATGCACTAAGAGGGAAAAGTTTTCCCCTTTTTAAAAAAATAAATGTTATTGTATACATTGAAAGTGTACAATATGATGGTATACGATGTATATACATAGTAAAATAATTACGATAGCTGAACAAATTAACATAGTCATCATCTCACATAGTTACCCATTTTCTTCCCCTGTGGCAAGGGCAGCTATAATCTACTCATTTAGCAAAACTCCTTGGCCGGGCACGGTGGGTCAAGCCTGTATTCCCAACACTTCGTGAGGCCAAGGTGGGCAGATGACAAGGTCAGGAGTTCAAGACCAGCCTGGCCAACATGGTGAAACCCCGTCTGTACCAAAAATACAAAAATTAGCCGAGCGTAGTGGCCTATGCCTGTAATCCCAGCTACTCAGGAGGCTGAGGCAGCAGAATCGCTTGAACCCAGGAGGTAGAGGTTGCAGTGAGCCGAGATCGCGCCACTGCACTCCAGCCTGGGCAACAAAGCGAGACTCTTTCTCAGAAAAAAAAAAAAAAAAATCCTGAATACTACACACTATCAGTTAGTATAGTTTTTCCTGTTGTCCATTAGATATTCCAACTGGTTCATCTTACATTTTTGCTACTTTGTATTCCTTGACCTACCTCTCCCATTTTGGGGTGGAGGGGGATATTTTTTCAGGATACTTCATAGAGTAAAAAAAGAGGCTGAGCGCAGTTGCTCAAACCTGTAATCCCAGCACTTTGGGAGGCCAAGGCTGGTGGATCACCTGAGGTTAGGAGTTCGAGACCAGCCTGACCAACATGGCGAAACCTCATCTCTACTAAAAATACACAAATTAGTTGGGCATGGTGGCAGGCGCCTGTAATCCAGCTACTGAGGAGGCTGAGGCAGGAGAAGCCCTTGAATCCAGGAGGTGGGGCTTGCAGAGAGCCTAGATTCTGCCACTGCACTCCAGCCTGGGCAACAGAACAATGCTCCATCGAAGAAAAGAAAGAAAAAAGAAAGAAAAGAAAACAAAAGAAAAGAAAAGAAAAGAAAAGAAAGAAAGAAAGAAAGAAAGAAAGAAAGAAAGAAAGAAAGAGAGAGAAAGGAAGGAAGGAAGGAAGGAGAAAGAAAAGAAAGAAAGAAAGAAGGAAAGAAAGAAAGAAGGAAGGAAGGAAGGAAGGAAGGAAAGAAAGAAAGAAGGAAAGAAAGAAAAGAGAGAGAGAGAGAGAAAGAAAAGAAGGAAGGAGGGAAGGAAAGAGGGAAGGAAGGAAAGAAGGAAGGTTGGTTCTTTTTCTCTATGTGTCCATGTATTCTCATCTTTTAGCTGCTCCCACTTGTAACTGGTAGTTTGCTGAGAATAATGGCCTCCAGCTCCATCCATGTCCCTGCAAAGGACATGATCTTGTATTTTTTATGGCTACATAGTATTCCATGGTATACATGTAGCACCTTTTCTCTTTTTTTGCTTTTTTTTGAGACGAAGTCTCGCTCTGTCACCCAGGCTGCAGTGCAATGGAACGATCTTGGCTCAGTGCACCCTCCACCTCCCGGGTTCAAGTGATTCTCCTGTCTCAATCTCCCTAGTAGCTGGGATTACAGGCGTGTGCCACCACACCGGCTAGGATGTTTTCTTAATCCAGTCTATCACTGATGGGCATTTAAGTTGATTCCATGTCTTTGCTATTCTGAATAGTGCTGCAATGAACATACATGTCTTTAAATAGAACAATTTATATTCCTTTGTGTACACACACTGGGGCCTATGAGAGGGTGGAGGGTGGGATGAGGGAGAGGATAAAAAAAAAATAACTAATGGGTACTAGGCTTAATACCTGGGTGATTAAATAATCTGTATAACAAACCCCCATGACACATGTGGACCTATCCAACAAACTTGCACCTCCAGCACATGTACCCCTGAACTTAAAAGTTAGAAAAGGAAAAATAAATAAATGTTTGCTCAATAAAATAAACAAAGTCCTAAAAAAAGGTTCTGTTAGATAATGTCTAGTACAGACATTTGTTATAAAAACATAATATGTAAAGAAATCTATGTATAACATGATTAAAATCACCATAAGAACATATATCCTAAACATGGCAAATATTAGTGGGGTGGAGTTAGAGAAAGCATTGTTTTTACGTCTCTGTTAGGGCTGGGAATGGGTTCAGGCTTACAGGCACGACTGGGATCAGGTTGGACAAGTTCCCACAGGCAGGTCACAACTAGGATGCAGGATCTAGGCCACCCCTGAGAGGGGGTGAGGGCAAGGAAACGGTCCCAGAGGAGGACCCGGGCCACGGCCTATTCCCAGAGCTCAGCCTGCCCCTCGGAGCCAGCGCACCTGGTCCCTCCCCTGAGAGCTGCCAGGAGGGACTGTAGGGCGGGAACGTGCGTGCTTGGGCACAGGAGCTGGGCACCGCCCGGCCTTCGGAGGGAGGGTGGTGAGAGCGTGCAGTGGTGCCAATTGCTCTAGCTGCGTCAGGGGTTCCAGATAAGGAGAACCGCAAACGCAGGTGGGGGTGTCCCAGAGCCGACTCCGCCTGCACCCCAGGGCACTGGGGGCGGGCGTGGGGCCCGGGTAGCATAAGAGCACCGCCCAGCAGAGGGCCTGAGACACTCGGAGCTCAACCTTGTGCCAGCCTAGGTCCAAACTTGGATCACATCAGACCCTCTCGAGGTGAGAAGAGGGGGCATCTAGGGTGCGCCTGTAGTGGGGGGGAGGGGTTATTCGGGGTCCAAGGCTGACTCTGCTTCCGAGAGGCGGGGGCTGCAGCCTGAACTCGAGGGCCAAGAACTGAAAGCCTGGAGGTCTGCAATTTGGGGTCTTTAGGGAAAAAGGAACTAGCGATTCAGAAGTTTGGGTTCCGTGGGAAGGACCAAAATTGGACCCAAGATTCCCGGGTCTCTAGGGGTCTGAGGAACTGGACTTTTGGGTCTGAGGGCTCCTGAGTCTGAGGGAGGAGGAGCTGGGGGCCTGGACTCCTGGGTCCGAGGGAGGAGGGGCTGGGGGCCTGGACTCCTGGGTCCAAGGGAGGAGGGGCTGGGCCTGAATGCTTTCTCCTTCCCAACTCCAGCAGAAGAGGCTGTTCCTGGCCTGGCAGCCCCAGAGCGGCTAAGCAGGGCACCATGGCAGGACCCTTTCTCCTGACCCTGCAGATCCTACTGCTGTCCTTAGCCCAGGGAGCTTCTGGACAAGGTGAACGCTGGACTGGGAAGCCTGACCTCACCCGGGGCCCCCACTGACCCTCTCCAAGGAGTCCCTGAGTCAGAAGCCCTCCCTCCTCAAACAGTGCCCTTCCTGGGAGGACCAGACTGTCAGCCGCAGCCCCCACTCTTCCTGCTTCTGCTGACTCTGGAGTCTCTGTCCCCTCCAGGCCCTGCCTCCTGCGCTCACCATCTCTCTGTGGTTCCCCCAAGGAGATGCACCTCCTGGCTTTCTGAGTGGGCTCCCTCTGTCTCTCTATCCCTAGCCCTTGCTTTCTCTGTTTCTCCGCGCATTTCTGTCTTTCTCCACCTCTGACTCTGGGAATTCCTGGGGTGCAGCCTCCGCCTTCCCCTGATGCTGGCTACCCACATGCTCCTCCATGTCTCCATCCAGGTGGGAGTGACAAGATTATTGATGGCGTCCCATGTACACCAGGCTCCCACCCATGGCAGGTGGCCCTGCTCAATGGCAACCAGCTCCACTGCGGGGGTGTCCTGGTCGGGGAGCTCTGGGTGCTCACTGCCGCCCACTGCAAGATGAAGTAGGTGCCAGCCAAGGCTTGCTGGAGCTGCAGCAGCGTCTCCAACTCGCAACGGGAGCTGTCTTTCTGTGCCTACGGCTCGGTGTCCCTCTCTGGGTCTCTGTCCCCCTCTCTCTGGGTCTCTGTCCCTCTCTCTGGGTCTCTGTCCCTCTCTCTAGGTCACTGTCCCCCTCTCTCTGGGTCTCTGTCCCTCTCTCTGGGTCTCTGTCCCTCTCTCTGGGTCTCTGTCCCCCTCTCTGGGTCTCTGTCCCTCTCTCTGGGTCTCTGTCCCCCCCCCCCGTCACAGTGTCTATCTGAATTTCTGAATGTCGCTCCCTTCTCCCAGTGGGTACACCGTGCACCTAGGCAGTGATAAGCTGGGAGACAGGAAAGCTCAGAGGATCACGGCCTCGAAGTCGTTCCGCCACCCCGGCTACAACACGCAGACCCATGTGAATGACCTCATGCTCGTGAAGCTGAGTAGGCCGGCCAGGCTGTCATCCACGGTCAAGAAAGTCCAGCTGCCCTCCCGCTGTGACCCCCCAGGAACCACATGTACTGTCTCCGGCTGGGGCACTACCACAAGCCCAGATGGTAGGTGGCTTCAGTGACCCAGGAGTCCAGGCCCCCAGCCCCTCCTCCCTCAGACCAGGAGTCCAGACTCCACCCCTCCTCCCTCAGACACAGGAGTCCAGGCCCCAGCCCTCCTCCCTCAGACACGGCAGTCCAGGCCCCAGCCCCTCCTCCCTCAGACCCAGGAGTCCAGGCCCCCAGCCCCTCCTCCCTCAGACCCAGCAGTCCAGGCCCCAGCCCTTCCTCCCTCAGACCCAGGGGTCCAGGCCCCAGCCCTTCCTCCCTCAGACCCGGGAGTCCAGACCCCAGCCCTCCTCCCTCAGACCCAGGAGTCAGGCCCCCATCCCTCCCACCTCACACCCAGGAGTCCAGACCCCAGCCCTCCTCCCTCAGACCCGGGAGTCAGGCCCCCATCCCTCCTACCTCACACCCAGGAGTCCAGAACCCCAGCTCCGTCTTCCCTCAGACCCAGCAGTCCAGGCCCCCTGCCCCTCCTCCCTCAGACCCAGGAGTCCAGGCCCCCAGCCCCTCCTCCCTCAGACCCAGGAGTCCAGGCCCCCAGCCCCTCCTCCCTCAGACTCAGGAGTCCAGGCCCCCAGCCCCTCCTCCCTCAGACCCAGGAGCCTGGACCTACAGCCCCTCTGGTCCTCAGACCCCATCCTGTCTGACTGACAGCTCTCCCGGCTCTTCCCCGCAGTGACCTTTCCCTCTGACCTCATGTGCGTGGATGTCAAGCTCATCTCTAACCAGGAATGCTCGAAGGTTTACAAGGACTTGCTGGGCAGTTCCATGCTGTGCGCTGGCATCCCTGACTCCAAGAAAAACGCCTGCAATGTGAGACACCCCCCCATTCCTCCCCAGTCCTGGGTGCCCTGTCTGCATGCCCCAGGCACAGAGCTTGACCAAGTGACTGGGTACCGAGCCCAGCCTTGCCCTCCTGCCAGGCCTGGCTTCCTCAGCTTTCTTCATCTCATTCTCTGCCTAGGCCAGGTGTGGGAGCTGACTTAGGGGCCGATGTGGCCCTGGGATGGGACAGAGAGTTTAATGGGGGTGAGAAAGCAGGGGTGGGGCCAGGGAAGGAGAGTGAGGCGCTGGCCCCAGGCCCAAAGCTTAAGGGGGCACCGAAAACCTCAGTGATTGAAATACATCATAATGCAAGATTCAAAAAGAAAAATAAAAATTCACAGCTGGGTGCGGTGGTTCATGCCTGTAATCCCAGCACTTTGGGAGGCCAACACCTGAGGTCGGGAGTTGGAGACCAGCCTGACCAACATGGAGAAATCCCATCTCTACTAAAAAATACAAAATTAGCCGGGCATGGTGGTGCAAGCCCGTAATCCCAGCTACTTGGGAGGCTGAGGCAGGAGAATCGCTTGAACCTGGGAGGTGGAGGTTGCAGTGAGCTGAGATCACACCATTGCACTCCAGCCTGGATAACAAGAGCGAAACTGTGCCCCCCTCAAAAAAAAAAATTCATGCAGGAGTCCACGATGGACAAAATGTCACCATTTTCAATAAAGAGAAGGTAGATGTGACCGAATTTACCCTTGCCATAGGCGCCAGCGTGGCTCAGCACAGCACTGTGCTGGCACTGTCTTCATTTAAACCATGGATACTGTGCCCATGATGCAGTTTTATGTATTACATTTGATTGTGTTGAGGATTGCTTTGAGGTATTATGTAGTGCAGTTACTGAGGTTTTGTGCCTGAAGCAAATGACTCACTCACCTGACTCTGGCCCTGGTCCTGGGCAACCGCTCTTTCCCTCCGCCTCCTCTGTTCCCTCTTCCTGGTCTTTCCTCAACCTCGCTCTGTTACTGAACACCCTCCCCACATCTCTCATTGTGATGAAATTGCTTCATTCTTTTCCTCTTTGTTCTTTCTCTGTGTTGAACTAGCTTGTTCTCTCTCCCTCGCTGTCTCTCTGCTCTCTCTCTTCTCCCTCTTTCTCTCACTGTCTCTCTCTCCTTCCATCCCTCCCTCTCTCTCCCCTCCCTGCCCCCCCTCCTTTTTCCTCCCTCTGTCTCCTCCCTGGCCTTCCCCTCTCCCTCTCTCTATTTCCCTCTTTTCTCTCTCCCTCTACTCTCCTTGCCTCCCTCCTTTCTACTCTGTCTCTTTCTCTTTCTTCTCTCTTCCCTCCCCAGCTGCTCCCCCATCTCTATAGGTCGTTCTCTATTCTCCTTTTCTCTTCAAGTCTTTCTCTGTTCTCCCCACCCTATCTCTCTCCCCACACCTTCCCCCCCATCTCTTTGTCTCTCTCCCTCTCCTCCCTCTTTCTTCTCCATCACCATCTCTCTCTCTCTATCCCCTTTCCCTCTTCCCCATCTCTTTGCCTGTCTCTCTTTTCCCTCTCTTCTCCAACCCTATCTCTCTCTGTCTCTCCACACCCATCCTCCTCGCTCACATTTGCAACTTCAGCTCTTAGGGGAGGTGGGATGGTGAGCGTTAGGGATAGAGGTGATGGGAGAGAGGTGTCCTAGAGAATAGGGTGCTCCCCTTCTCCCCTGGTGAGGGCCAGCTTCACGAATGTGCAGGCTCTGCAGTGACATACAGCCCCGCACTCAGGAGTGTCTCAAACTCAGTCTAACACATTCCTGTTGTTGTCTTGAAATTCTTAATAATTTTTGAACAAAGAGCCCTGCATTTTCACGTTGCACCAAGCCCTGTAAATTATGTAACTGGTCTTGACCCTGGTCTCCGAGACCATCGTGTCCCCTTTTCCTGTGCCAGAAGGCATGCATCCACCCCTTGGAGGTGATGTTCCTTCTCCCACTAGCTTGAAGCACGGTTTTTTTTTTTTTTTTTTTTTTTTTGTCACCCAGGCTAGAGTCCACTGGCGCAATCTTGACTCACTGCAACCTCCTCCTCTCGGGTTCAAGCAATTCTCCTGCCTCAGCCTCCCGAGTAGTTGGGATTACAGGCATTCGCCACCACGTCCGGCTAATTTTTTGTATTTTTAGTAGAGCCAGGGTTTCACCGTGTCAGCCAGGGTGGTCTCGATCTTCTGACCTCATGATCTGCCCGCCTCAGCCTCCCAAAGTGCTGCCACCTCGCCAGGCCCGAAGCAGGGCTCTTAACATTGGAAAATGAATAGTGCTCCAATCCTGGAAGCCCCACCCCTTCTCTGCCATTGGTCTAATTGGCCAAGGCTCAAACCAATGTCTTCAAAGAACCTAGTGAGGCCCTAGCACTAGCTCTCCCATTGGTCCCCAGAGACAATGAGTCTCTTCTCACTGGCTGTGGTGGAAGTCCGTAATATGCAAGACAAAGACTGATAACTGAGGAATGTATGAGACTGAGTTGGGCTTTGCTGTGAAGCCAAAGTTAATCTCCTGCCCTATTCCCTCCAGGGTGACTCAGGGGGACCGATGGTGTGCAGAGGTACCCTGCAAGGTCTGGTGTCCTGGGGAACTTTCCCTTGCGGCCAACCCAATGACCCGGGAGTCTACACTCAAGTCTGCAAGTTCACCAAGTGGATAACTGACACCATGAGAAAGAATCGCTAACCACCCCACCAAGAGTTAAATAACTGTGTGCTTCCAACAGAAAATGCACAGGAATAAGGACGCTGATGATCTATGACTTTACCTTTCCTCAAAGATATATTAAAATGTCATGACCTGTTTGTAAACCAGTCAAATTGGCAAAGACCTAAAACCAAAACAAATAAAGAAACACAAAACCCTCAGTGCTGGAGAAGAGTCAGTGAGACAGCACTCTCAAACACTGGAACTAGAAGTTCGTACAATCTTTATGGAAGACACGTTTGTCAACGTACACTGACACCCTTATTCACTGCCGTTGGCGCAGTATCTCTAGTCTTAGGAAGATGCTACCAAAAAAAAAAAAAATCCAAAATGTAGAATATGACTTAAATTCATCAGAATAGTATTTACCACAGAAAAAAGCAGAAACATCAAAAATGTTCCAAAAGTACTAAATGGCTTAAATAATAGTCTGGTTGGGCACAATGATTTTTTTTTTCTTTGAGGCAGAGTCTCACTTGGTTGCCCAGGCTGCAGTGCAGCGGTGCAATTTTGGCTCACTGCAACGTCTGCCTACTGGGTTCAAGTGATTCCCATGCCTCAGCCTCCCAAGTATCTGGGACTACAGGTGCACACTCCCACATCTCAGCCTCCTAAGTAGCTGGGACTACAGGTGTGCACCACCACACCAGGCTAATTTTTTATTTTTATTTTTTTGTATTTTTGGTAGAGACAGCGTTTCACCATGTTGACCAGTGTGGTCTCGAACTCCTGACCTCAAATAATCCTCCTGCCTCAGCCTCCCAAAATGCTGGGATTACAGGCATGAGCCACCGCACCCAGCTCACAATGATACTATAAATCTATTATAAATGATACTTAGACAGAATTGTTAGTGTTATGCAAGAATGTTTAGGCTATTATGATGTTAAATGACGAAAGGAAGAGACAAAAATACATAGGTATGTGATGTGATCCTAGCCATGAAAAATGAAATATTCATAGAATCAAATCGGCAAACACATGTCCCAGACTGTATACTGGGGTTGTCATGAGGTGTCTCCTTCCTTCTGTGTACTTTTCTGTGAATGTGCACTTTTATAACCCGAAAAATAAAGGCGGGAAAAAAAGTCTGATGATCTAAGTTTGGAGAGAGGAGACGTTTCTGGAAAGGAGATTAGAAAGAAAAATGTGCCTGGTTTTGAGCCCTGGCCCTGCCCTCCCTGTTCCATGGTATATTCCCATTTCCCAGATCTCAGTTTTTCCTGCCTGTATAATGGGAGAGAGAAGAAAGGATGGAGAGAGGAAGAAGGAGAGGAGGAGGGAGGAGAGAACATGTCGACTTCATCAGTGTTGGAAGGGGTGTGAAAGTGTTTCTTAATTTTTTTTTGAGACAGAGTTTTGTTCTTGTTGCCCAAGCTGGAGTGCAGTGGTACAATCTTGGCTCACTACAACCTCTACCTCCCGGGTTCAAGCGATTCTCCTGCCTCAGCCTCCTGCATAGCTGGGATTACAGGCGCCCGCCACCATACCTGGCTAATTTTGTATCTTTAGTAGAGATGGGGTTTCTCCATGTTGGTCAGGCTGGCCTCAAACTCCCAACCTCAGGTGATCCTCCCACCTCAGCCTCCCAAAGTGCTGGGACTACAGGCATGAGCCACCTGGTTCTTACCCTTGCTGATGGGCCTGGCACTGCCATCATTCATGAACTCACCCCAAGGACCACGCACACAACTGCAGTCATGGCCAAGCACACATGCAGTTCTGCAAGTTCTGCAGACAGGCACGCATTGCTTCTGCAGGTGCAGCTAAAAGTGCAGCTGTGTCCCCAGGTACACACACTCCGGGGCAGCCTTGCAGGATCGCACACCTCACCCACAGTATCTCAGTGCCACACACAGATGCTGTGTGTGCTCAGATGTTCAGATTGCCACGTACTCTTCTGTACACAGGCATGTTCACATGGTGACAAAATTATCTCCCTCAGACCTAGGAGTTCAAGAGCCTAGCATGGCACAGTGCAAGTCAGTCACCTAGCACCCATCTCCCAGAGACAGCCACCTGTGCACCCTCTATCCCTCCGGGCAGGGACAGAAACTCCAGACACACAGCTGCTCCATCACACACACAGTAGCTCAAACCATCTCCCCACCCTGGCCTCCCAAAGTGCTGGGATTACAGGTGTGAGCCACCGCGCCAGGCAATACTGAAAGTGTTTCTGACCATCTCACGAGTGACAAGTGAGGAGGGAGGCAGGAGGTTTACGGAGGGGATAGGGATGGCAGCAGACAGGACACCGGGGTCCCACAGGGTCTCCAGAAGTGAGCAACCAGTGCCGGAGGAAAATGGTGGTTCCTGCTCCCCAAGAACCTCGGGAAGGGGGTAGGATGACAGAGGAGTCCTCCGTGACTCACAGCCTGGCCACACCCCCAGCCACCTAACATCAAAGATCCTCTGTGTGGTCGGATGCTGCTGACCCTGACCTAGGAGCCACTCTAGCCCGGGATGCGCCCCTCCTACCTGTTTTTCCTGTTTCTCTCCCAGAATTCCCTCCCTGCCAACATTCTCCAGATCCTCCCTCTCCTTATCTCACCTCCCTCTGAGTGTCTCCCAACCCAGCCACCCAGCCCTGTCATATTGCAGAAATTCTGCAGCCACTAATTCTGATTCTCCACATATAGGAGGTTAACACAAAAAACAGAGGAGTCCAGGCCCCCAGACCCTCCTCCCTCAGACCCAGGAGTCCAGGCCCCCAGCCCCTCCTCCCTCAGACTCAGGAGTCCAGATCCTCAGCCCCTCCTCCCTCAGACCCAGGAGTCTAGATCCTCAGCCCCTCCTCCCTCAGACCCAGGAGTCCAGATCCTCAGCCCCTCCTCCCTCAGACCCAGGAGTCCAGATCCCCCCAGTCCCTCCTCCCTCAGACCCAGGAGTCCAGATCCCCGGTTCCTCCTCCCTTAGACCCAGGAGTCCAGGTGCCCAGCCCCTTCTGTTTCTGGGCCTGTAAAGTTTAAAGAATGTCAAAAATTTTTGACCATCCATCGCCCTGAAGTTTTATCAACACTCCCTTTCCTCTCTGCCAGCCACTCCAATACTCAATCCAGAATTTTAAAAGTAACAAAACATTGCATTTGCACTAGGTCAGCCTGGAGATCCCTGGCCCTGGCCCTCTGCTCTCCTATATCCAAGGTGCAGGTAGATTGGTTTGCAGTGACTGAGGTGGTACTAATGTTGAATTTTTTTTTAAGTAATTCACTTTTCTTCGGGTAGGCAGGATAGTGTGATAGTCAAGGGACTAGCTCTGGATCCTGGCTTCTTGGGTTCAAATCCCAGTTCTAGCCCCTACCAGCTATTTGCCTTGAAGCTCAATCTTTCTCCGTTCCTGTTCCTTCATCCTTGAAATGGGAGGAAGAGCACCTACTTTCTAGGGTTATTACAGAGATTCAATAAGTTAATACATAGAAAGTGCTCAAACATATATGTTATAAGGATTATATATATAATTTATATATATATATAATTTTTAAGGAATATATAATATGTAAATTATAAGGAACATATAATATTCCATATATATATGGAATATATATATAATATATACTTTCACTGTGTGTGTGTGTATATATATATATATGTATATATAATATCTCTTTCCTTATATCCTTATATTGTATGATTTATATCCTTATAAATCATATAATATATATATATATATGGCCTGGCTCTGTCGCCCAGGCTGGAGAGCAGCGGCATGATCATAGCTCACCACAGCCTCAATCTCCTGGGCTCAAGCAATCCTCTTATCCCAGCCTTTCGAGTAGCTGGGACCACGCCTGGCTGATTTTTTTTTTTTTTTTTTTTTTTTTTAGAGTAGAGATGGGGTTTCTCCATGTTGCCCAACCTGGCAGTGGCCAGCACTTACTTCCTGTGTTTTGTTTATTTTTAGTAGAGATGGGGTCTCACTACGTTCCAGGCTGATCTCTAACTCCCAAGCCTTCCAAATAATCCTCCCACCTCGGCCTTCCAAAGTGCTGGGGTCATAGGTGTGGGCCACTGTACCCAGACAAAAGGATTTATTTATTGAAGATTTTTGCAGAGCAGGTCAATCTGGAGCAAAATATCCAGTAAATGGGCATTCAAGGAATGCGGAGATGGCAAACCACAAAGGTCACCAGAGAAGGGTTAGAGTTAGGAATTTCTTTCTTTTCAAAGTCTTCCACTCCCCACAGCCTAACACCTCCCTTCTTTCCCCACCCAGCTCTCAACAATTCCTCTCAAGTTCACTCACCTCATACTGTCATAAGACAGACCCAGTGAGGTCAGCAAGGGATGGGCCACGTTGGAAGTTGAGCTCCCATTCAGGCGCCATCATTTCCTGGGTGTTTGATGTTGAGCAATGAACTTCCATTCTGAGCCTCGGTTTTCTTATCTGTAAAATGGGAGTGGGTGTGAGGAAGTCATTTAGTCATCTGGTCGTGTTTCCTAAGGCTTCTTCCAGGCCAGGTCCTATGTGGGTGCTTGGGACACAGGAATGAATCAACCCTGTACCTGCCCTCAAGGAGCTCACGGTCCAGTGGAAGAGACAATGAATGTCAATCCAGGTGGCCCCAGTCCAGGGTAGACTGACCGAGACACCAGCTGTGGGAACTTACATGACAGAATGAGTAATCCAACCGCAGCAGGTGGAGGCTGGGTGGTGTTCAGGGAAGGTTTCCTGGAGGAGGTGATGTCCAGGCAAAAACTTGAAGGACAGGTTACTGACAGGAAAAGGTGGGGAAAACGTGCTAAGAAGAGAGAATAGGCCGGGTGCAGTGGCTCACGCCTGTAATCCCAGCACTTTGGGAGGCCGAGGCGGGCAGATCACCTGAGGTCAGGAGTTCAAGACCAGCCTGGCCAACATGGTGAAACCCCATCTCTACAAAAAATACAAAAGTTAGCCGGGCATGGTGGCATGCACCTTTAATCCCAGCTACTCAGGAGGCTGAGGCAGGGACTGGCTTGAACCCAGGAGACGGAGGTTGCAGTGAGTGGAGATCACGCCACTGCACTCCAGCCTGGGTGACAGAGAGACTCCATCTCAAAAAAAGGGAGAATAGGAGAGGCCAGAGGGCATGGCATGGGTCAGGGAAGCTTGATGTGACCTAGAAAGCGGGAGCCACATGGGGAAGTAGGCATAGCTGTGCCATGCAGCGTGGGGGCCACTCACCACTCAGGCCTCTTTCTAAAAAAATTTTTGACAGGGTCTGGCTCTGTCACACTAGAGGGCAGTGGCATGATGATGGCTTTCTTCAGCCTGAGCATCCAGCCTCAAGAAACTCCCCACCTCAGCTTCCAGCATAGCTGGGACCACAGATGTGTGTCATCACATTTAGGTGATTTTTTTTTTTTTTCTTTTTTTTTAGAGATAACTCACTATATTACCTAGGCTGGTCTTGAACTCCTGGGCTCAAGAGATCTTTCTGCCTCTGCCTCCCAAAGTGCTTGGATTACAAGCATGAGCCACCTTGTCCAGCCATGTCCAGGGCTCTTGATGGCTTAAAATGAGCTCCAACCGAGACATCTGTAAATATATATGACACGACAGATTCCAAACACTCAGGGTGCCAAAAAGCAAGAAGGCAAATAATCCCTTTACTAATTTTCTTATTTTTATTTCGTATGATAATATTTTGAATATATTGAATTCAATGAACTATTAGGTGCTCCTGTTTCTTTTTAATTTTTTTTCTTTTGAATATATTTATTATTATTATTCAGTCAGGGGTCTTGCTTTGTTGCCCAGGCTGGGGTGCAGTGGCACAATCACAGCTCACTGCAGCCGGGACCTCCCAGGCAATTCCCCCACCTCAGCCTCCTGAGTAGCTGAGACTACAGGTGTGCGCCACCATGTCCGCTAATGTTTTTTCTTTTTGCAGAGATGGGCTCTCATGCTGCCGAGGCTGGTTGTGAAGTCCTGGACTCAAGCGATCTACCCACCTCGGCCTCCCAAAGTGCTAAGATTACAGACATGCGCCACCACGCCTGACCTTAAGTTTATTTTTTAATTGACAAGTAAAAATCGTATCTGTTTCTGGTGTATAACATCATGTTTGATACGTGTATGTATGCATTGTGGAATGGGTAAATCAAGATAAGTAACATAGGCATTACTTCACACCCTTATTTTCTGTGGTATGGACACTTAAATCTTTTTACTTAAAAAAAAAATGTGTGGTATTGGAAACGTAAATGCGCATGCATGCCTGGCATCACATTTCATTTGCCAGGGCTTCTCTGGATGCTGCAGGTTCCCAAACACCAGGCTCAGGGGCTGGGACTTGGTCCCAAGGGAGATGGGGACAGGGCTGTGAGAGGTGGGGCAGGGTCAGCACAAGGCATAGAAAGGCCTCTCTGGGGTCAGGCGAGGGATACAGACCCAGGAGTCTAGGTCCTTAGCCCTTCCTCCTTCAGACCCAGGAGTCCAGGCCCCCAGCCCCTCCTCCCTCAGACCCAGGAGTTCAGGCCCTCATTGCACTCAGGGGCCAGTGCTCCCCTCCATGGAGGCCTGGTCCAGGTGGGAGAGACGTAGCTCTGAGCCGGGGCTGGGGTTGTGGGGACAGAGAGGAAGGGATCCCCCAGAGAGAGGAGGCAGAGGGATAGGGCCTGGTCACTGGGCTGTGCAACGTCAGACTTGGTGTCTGTGTGGATGGCAGGTCCTGAGAAGAAGATGCTGAGGTCAGTGTGGACCAAGTGTGAAGGAGCACCCAGAGAGGATACTGAATACCAAAGTAGTCTTCATCCCTGCAGTGATGGGGGCTGGGCAATGTAAGGTGACAATTAGATTTAATGCAAGGGAAAGAAAAGGGTTGGCCGGGAGCAGTGGCTCATGCCTGTGGTCCCAGCTTCTGGGGAGACTGAGGTGGGAGGGTCACTTGAGCCCAGGAGGGTTGAGGCTGCCATGAGCAAGGATGGTGCCACTGCACTCCAGCCTGGGCAACAGAAAAAGACCTTGCTCAAAAGAAAAAATAATTATCTGTATGTTACTTGCAGTGCCCAGGCCAAGCAGGTGCTGAGCCAAATTTCATTCCTGTCATCGCCCTGATTACCCAGCGACTTCCCCCTCCTCTCCCTCCACTCCACCACACACACACTCCTGCCCTCCAGCCCATACCAACCACCCAACCACTGCCTGCCATTTCCCATGTGCACAGGCCAGGCACGTTCATGGCCTCTCCGCCTGACCTACGGGCTCAGCTTTCTAGGCCCAAGTTCAAAGGCAGCTCCCGAGTCTTCCTGGATCCCTCAGCTGCTGCCCAGCACCAACATCTCATCACAGCCCCGCGTCACTCTCAAAAGTGCCCGCCGATTCCCACTTAACCCCCACACCTCTTTGCTGTGTGTCCGCATCTCATCAATAAGGCCCCAAGTCCTCCGGCATCCTGCTGTCTTCCCCATCGCTGGGGAATGATCCCCGAGAGCTCCTGGGGAACCCGACTCCCTTCTGGGTAAACACAGTGCTTCTCCCCAGGGAAATCTTCGAAGAGATGCTGGAAAAGACAAGCACAGAGAGTCAGAGGATCAAGGGGAAAGAAAGGGAGAGAGAGGCTGGGCACAGCGGCTCACACCTGTAATCCAGTACTTTGAGAGGCCAAGGGGGTGGGGGTGGATCACCTGATGTCATGAGTTCGAGACCAGCCTGGCCAACATGGTGAAACGCTGTTTCTACTAAAAATACAAAAATTAGCTGGGCGTGGTGATGGGCGCCTGTAATCTCAGCTGCTCAGGAGGCTGAGGCAGGAGAATCACTTGAACCTGGGAGGCGGAGGTTGCAGTAAACCGAGATTGCACCACTACTGCACGCAACCTGGGTGACAGAGTGAGACTCCATTGAAGAAAGAAAGAGAGAAAGAGAGACAGAGAGAGGAAGGAAGGAAGGGAGGGAGGGAGGGAAGGGGGGGAGAGAGAAAAAAAAAACAGAGAAAGGACAAAACAAAGTGGAGAAAAAGGTGGAGAGACACAAATACAGAGAGTGAGATGGGGGGGAGAGAGAGAGAGAGAAGCCCCCTCCTCTCCATGGCTGGGAGACAAGATGGAGCAAGAGGCCTCAGAGGAGGGCAGATTTGGAGAAGAAGGACCAGAAGGATGAGGAGTGCCGAAATGTTGGGCAGTCGGAGGCTGCAAAGGAGGTATGTCAGACAGTAACAATGGGAAGCCATTGATGTGGCCACCCGCCTGCCAGAAGAGAGGTTGAGGCACGGAGCTGCTGGGAGCATGGCACTGGGGTGCTAGGGGCGGACAAAGCCCGATTGTTCCTGGGCCCTTTCCCCACAGTGCCTGGGCCTGCTCCCCAGCCTGGGGCAGGGGCGGGGACAGTGTGGTGTCACATGCTGTCTCCCTGGGTGGCTGGCTCGCTCTCTCCTGGGGACACGGAGGTCAGCAGGCAGCACACAGAGGGACTTACGGGCAGGTGTGTGAGTCACCCCAACCCTACTGAACCCGGGCAGGCTGGTTCCCAGTACCTGAGGGCTCTGGAGCCTGGAGTGAGGGCCTGCAGGTCCCTAGGTGGCACAGAGAGCGCTGGGGGTGCAGGAAGGCCTGGGGCACCATCTGCTTGCCCCAGAGGCTGGAATTTCAGTCTTCAGACACTTTCATTCTCCGAAACCTGGAGGTCTAAGGACTGAGCAGATTAGAACTGCCTCTGCCTCAGATTCAGGGCCCAGTGCTTCCTCCCTCAGACCCAGAAGTTAAGGTCCCAGCCCCTCCTCCCTCAGACCCAGGGGTCCAGGCCCCCAGCCCCTCAGCCCCTCCTCCATCAGACCCAGGAGTCCAGGCCCTCATTGCACTCAGGATCCAGAGCTCCCCTCCCTGGAGGCCTGGTCAGGGGTCAGCAGGAGCACAGCGTGGGGGCAGGAGGAATGTGTGTGGGAGGCCTGGGTAAGGAGGAAAAGGGTGGAACCAATCTCCTGGCTCAGGGACCTGGGGAGATGGGGGTGTTTAAAAGGAAGTCGCAGAAGCATCTAGGGACAGAAGCAGCCTCCTTCAAGGAAGCCCAAGAGCGGGGGGTGTGAGTCTGGCAGTCCCTGCAGCCCTGGGTGCTGCAGTCCCTGCGTCCTCTGCTTGGCTCTGTCACTGCCTCTGAGTGTCTTCTCTCCCCACGGCTCCCCGCATTTCTGACTCTTTCTGCCTCCTTGTCTCGAAGCTTTCCCTTCCCCAACTCAAGAACCCCCGGAGGCCCGGAGGCCCAGTGGCCTACAGCAGGTAAGATCACGGGCATCACAGAACCTGTAGGGGTGGGCGGGGTGGTGACTGGAGAGCACAGAGCCAGGTGCAGGGGAAAGCTCCCAAAGAGAGGAAGAACGCTAGGGCCCCCTAGGGTAACCCTCTCCTTTCAACAGGAAGGCAAATGAGAGCTCAAGAAACTAGAAAGATTTAATCAGAATCTCACCGTGAGTCACTGGACCCACGGACATAGTTTCGGATTCTCTTTGGCACTGTTTGTGTGGGTCCCTCTGATGAAAGACGTGGGTTGGGAAAGAAGAAATCAGGAGGCTAGATGGGAAGGACAGATGTCAAGGCCGGAGAAGGTAGCAGGCCTGGCAGAACCGAGAGGTTGGGGAGAGAGCAGGCAGAGGGAGATGGGGCAGGGTTGAGGCCATGACTAATGGAGCGTGTGGCTTCCCCTCTCAGGAGCGGCCATGAAGAAGCTGCTGGTGGTGCTGAGTCTGATGGCTGCAGGTGGGGAAAGGACACTGGAAAGGGGGAGGCTTGCCGATGGGATCGGGCTTGTTGATGGGGATACGCACAGGGTTGGGGTGGGGGTCTGAAATGAGGACGGCATTGGGGATTAGGCTAAGGGTGGGGAACACAGATGGGGAATTCGGTGGGACGGGCGAAGATATGAGGGTTCAGGGGTGGGTTGGCTTTAGGGGTGGGGCTGTAGACGGAGAAGAGGTAGGAGGTAGGTTGAAAAGCTGGAGCCTGGCTTCGTGATGGGAATGGGAAGTTTGGGGGTGGGAATACAGAGCAGCTTTTTTTTTTTTCTTTTTTGAGACAGGGTCCCCCTGTCTCCCAGGCTGGAGTGCAGTGGCATGACCCATAGTTCACTGCAGACTCGAACTCCTGGGCTCAAGGGATTCTCCTACCTCAGCCTCCCAAATAGCTGGGACTACAGGTGTATGCCACCGTACCCGACCAAGTTTTTTGATTTTTAGTGGAGACGAGGTCTCACTGTGTTATCCAGGCTGGTCTCAAACAATCCTCCTGCCTCAAGCCACTGCACCTGAGCAACCTTGATGGGCGTTCACCTGGAGGGGGTGCACTTGGTTTCTCCCAACCTTCTCTCTGACTCAGAGCCTCTCTCCCTCAGCCTGGGCAGAGGAGCAGAATAAGCTGGTGCATGGCGGACCCTGCGAAAAGACGCGTCACCCCTACCAAGCTGCCCTCTACACCTCGGGCCACTTGCTCTGCGGTGGTGTTCTTATCCATCCACTGTGGGTCCTCACAGCAGCCCACTGCAAAAAACCGTGAGTCCACGCCGTGAATGAACAGCAGATGCGACCAGACCCCGAGGGTGTCTTGTAGATGTCAGGCAGGAGGTGACACAGGCATCCCCCCCGCCACCCCGTCCCAGCGTGTGGCCATCCAATAGCCAGGTGCATTCAGCCAGTGTTTAATTGAGCACTTCATATGTGCCAGGCCCTGGGGGTACAGCAGTTGGTGGGGGAAAAAAAACAAGCAAAATTGCTGTTTTCATGAACTTACCTTCTAATGGGGGAATTGGATCATCTGGGCACCTGCAGGGCGTGACGGGCATTTGGGTTTAATTGTGAGCACAGTAGGAAGCCACTGGGCAGTTTTGTCATTGTTTGTTTGTTGAGAGGGAGTCTCGCTCTGTCACCCAGGCTGGAGTGCAGTGGCACGATCTCGACTCACTGCTACCTCTGCCTCTTGGGTTCCGGTGTTTCTCCTGCCTCAGCACCCCAAGTAGCTGGGATTATAGGTGTGCACCACCATGCCAGGCTAATTTTTTCATTTTTAGTAGAGATGGGGGGGGGTCTCACCATGTTGGCCAGGCTGATCTCGAACTCTTGATCTCAGGTGATCCACCTGCCTCAGCCTCCCGAAGTGCTGGGATAACAGGCAAGAGCCACCGTGCCTGGCCTGACTTGCATTTTTACAAGCACCCTCGCTACTAAGTGGAAAGTGGCCTGGGTGAGAGGAAAGGGAGGGAGACCCATGTGGGGGCTGTTGCTTTCATCTGACCACGTAAGAGGGTGGCTTGAACCCAGGCGGTGGCAGTGGGGATGGAGGGAAGTTGAATACCTTGAGAGGATGGATTTTAGACAGAGCCAGAAGATTTTGGCAATGAGAAACAGGAGGGAGAGAGAAGCAGCAGTGCTTCTGGGTATTTGTCCTGAACAACTGGGTGTTTTGCCATGTCTTTCTCTGAGCTGGGGGAGAAGGAAAGAGAAACAGGCTGGGTGTGGAGAGGGGAGCATCTGACATTTTGCTTTAATCACGGTGAGTTTTAGATGCTGGGAGATGTCCCAGCAGGGAGGCTGGGGAGGCCTCTGGAGCTCAGAGGAGAGGTCAGGGCTAGAGGTTAAAAATGAAGGCATCATTAGCAAACAGGTAGTATTTAAAGCCATGGGATTAGATGAGATCATCCAAAAAGCAGGCACAGATGGAGGAGCTGGAGGGCCCGGGATGAAAACCCCGGGCACTGAGCCTCACTAGTTAGATTCACAACAGCTGCCATTGTGTTTCATGCTAACTACCAATCAGGTGTTGAGTGAAACCATTTATACACCTTTCCCAGAATCCCCACAACATGGGACTCTGGCACCATTTTGCAAATGAAACTGAGGTGCAGAGAAACAGCAAGTGACAGTCCCTGGGGTGGTCTCCCCCAAGCCCAAGGAGACTCGAGATGCCCCCCACCACCATCATTCATTCCTTTGATGCACATTGACTCAGAGCACCTGCTAAGTACCAGATTCGAGTTGGGCAGTGGAGATTCAGCAATGGATGAGACTCACACATCACCACTGCCCTCGGGAGCACAAGGACGGAAAGGTGTAGATGGGCAGTTATTTAAGAAAAAAAGTGGGGGCTGGGCATGGTGGCTTACACCTGTAATCCCAGCACTTTGGGAGGCCAAGGCCGGAGGATCACTTGAAGTCAGGAGTTTGAGACCAGCCTGGCTAACATGGCAAAACCCCATCTCTACTGAAAATACAAAAAATTAGCTGGGCGAGATGGCACATGCCCATAGTCCCAGCCACTTGGGAGACTAAGGCAGGAGAATCGCTTGAACCTGGGAGGTGGAGGTTGCAGTAAGCCAAGATCACACCACTGCACTCCAGCCCGAGCAACAGAGTGAGACTCTGCCTCAAAAAAAAAAAAAGCAAGCAGCAAATTGGGCTGGGCACATTGGCTCACACCTGCAATCTCAGCACTTTGGGAAGCCGAGGCAGGTGGATCAATTGAGGCCAGGAGCTCTAAGCTGCAGTGAGCAGTGATCTACAGAGTGCTGCTGCAGGTCCAGCCTGGACAACAGAGCGAGACTGTGTCTCAAAAAAAATAAAAAGCAAACCCTACAAAACCCCATATAACTACAAATTATGAAGGAAAAGAATAGGGGTACCTACTTTAGATGGAGGAGGGTCAGGAAGGACTTTCTGATGAGATAAAATCCAAGCAGAGGCATGAAGATGGGGAAAAAGTGTTCGGGGCAGAGGAAAGGCAGGAATAGCACCCCTGAGTTGAGAACTATCTTGAGTATTCTCAGAAAAGAGTTCCCCCGTTCACTGGAGGCCAGAAGGTGCTGAGAGAGAAGGAAAGTGACCGCAGCCAGATCGCGCAGGGACTCCAATGCCAAGTGAGAAGCCCAGGCTTTATTCTTAGGACAATGGGGAGCCATGGGAGATGTCTGACTGTTTGCTTCATGAATACGTGTCAAATGCCTACCATGTGCCAGGTGCTGGTCAAGTAACTGGAGATACTATATCTGAATAGAACAAAAATCCCCTTCTTGACATCCTAGAGCTGCACTGTCTGGTAAGGTAGCCATCAGCCACATATAGCAAATTATGTTGAAATTAATGAAATGAAAACTCCACAGGCCACATTTCAAGTACTCAGCAGCCACCTGCAGCTTGTGGCTCCCCCAGCCACGTCTGGACAGTGCAGACAGAGATTATGCCATCGTAACATTTAGTGGACAGCCTTGCTGTGCAAAAAGGAGAAACAACACAATGAGTAAATATTTAACAATAAATATATAGCAGGTCAGATGATTGTGATAGGTTCTCTGGTGGAACAGAAATGGGAGGGAGATAGGAATTACCTACTGGAATAGGTACTTGTATTTTAATTGGGCAACTAAGGAAGGCTTCCCTGAGAGGTGACATTTAAAGGAACTGAGGGAGTGAATTATGCAGATACTTGGAAGACAGAGTTGCTGGCAGAGGGAACAGCAGTGCAAAGGCCCTGGGGTGGGAAGGCCTCTTTGGTGTCCAAGGAAAGATAGGGAAGCCAGTGTTTGGCTGGAGCAGAGGGAGAGAAGGGGAGATGGGGAGATGGGGAGATGTCTGAGAGATCGGACGGTGGGTTTGGATTTGGTTTTGAGTGAGATGGGAGTCATAGGAGAGGCTGAGCAGAGGAGGCACAGGACCAACTTACGTTGTTAAGATATCTCTGGTTGCTTTGCGGAGGATGGACTGTGGGGGGCAGGGCCTGAGACAGAGCGGGGAGCCCAGTGAGGAGGCCGCTGCTCTAGTCCAGGTAAGAAGTGAAAAGGCAGCTCAAGCCAAGATGGCAGCCGTGGAAATGGTGAGATGTGGTCAGATTCTGGATATGCTTCAGAGAGGGAAAAGGATTTCTGGACAACTTGGATACAGGGCATGAAATAAAGAGGGTGAAGAATAGCCCCCAAGATTATTCTGAAAAGATGGAATTGCCATTTACTCAGGAGGGGAAGACTGTGGGAGGAGCAGGCCAGCTGATTCATGACTTCCCAGCCCTTTCTGAAGCCTCAACTGTAGTCCAAGGGCTTCAGGTGAGACCCAGCCCTCTTCCTTCCCAGGAATCTTCAGGTCTTCCTGGGGAAGCATAACCTTCGGCAAAGGGAGAGTTCACAGGAGCAGAGCTCTGTGGTCCGGGCTGTGATCCACCCTGGCTACGATGCCTCCACCCATGACCAGGACATCATGCTGCTGCGCCTGGCACACCCAGCCAAGCTCTCTGAACTCATCCAGCCCCTTCCTCTGGAGAGGGACTGCTCAGCCAACTACACCAGCTGCCACATCCTGGGCTGGGGCAAAACAGCAGATGGTCAGTAGTGGGAGGCTGGTAGGGAACTGGCTACTGCCTACTGGGGAAGGTGGGCCAAAGGATGGAGGGTGGGACAATGGGTGAGGGGCCAGGAGAAGTTGGCTAATGGTGACAACCAATGGGACAGGGTTTCCAAGGGAGAAAGGTTAAGGGGGAGGGAGGGTGAATTTGGGAGCTGGGCCAATGAGTGACCAGCCAATGGAAAATGTAGACCAATGGGTGACTAGCATGGGAGAGATTTCAATGAAGAGGGAAGGTCAGTGAGGAGACTCTCATCAGGAAGGTCAACCATCAAAGGAGACTGATCAGGATGTGCTGAAGAGCAGGAAGGAATAATGGAGAAGGAACTGATGGAAGAAGAGAAACCAATAAAGCTCAAGGGACAACCGAAGGATGTGAATGACGACAGTGAATGCATGTAGAGTTGATGGAAGAGGGACTAAGGGGAAAGGGTCAATGGTCCAGAGGAGTCACTAGAGGAAAAAAACAGGTCCAATAGATCAGCAGGAGCCATGAAAGGTGGGCCTGTGGGTGAAGGGCCAATAAGAAAGGTGAACCATTGAATAAAGGGCCAATGGGAAGGGAGAACCAATGGGGGAGGATGGGGCAAGTTAGAAAAGGACCAATGAGGGAGGTGGACCATTGGATGAAGGTCTAATAGGAAGGGAGAGGCAATGGGGGATGGTGAGGCCAGTTAGAAAAGGACCAAAGAGGGAGGCAGACCAATAGGAAGAGACAGCTGAAGAGGGAGGGCAGGGCCAGTTAGGAAAAGGACCAATGAGGAAGGTAGACCACTGGATGAAGGGCCAATAGTAAGGGACAACCCATGAGGGAGGGCGGGGACAGTTAGAAAAGGACCAATGATGGAGGTAAATCATTGGAAGAAGAACCAATAGAAAGGAAGAACCAATGGGAGAGGGCCAGTTAGGAAAAGACCAATGGTCACAGAGTGACCAATCAAGAGGAATCAATAGGCAAGAAGTGTCCGATGAAGAATGGAGTAACGAGCAGGAGGGGTACAGTAGAGGAGGGACTAATAGAAGAGACTTCCAGGTCAAAACTGAAATGACTAAAGAAGGTGGGACCAGTGGAAGAGAGAAAAGTGGAGGAGGGACCTAAGAGAAAAGGAAACCAATAGGAAATGAGGACTCAGGGAGAAGAGACTATTAATGAGGAACACAGCCAATGAGAAGGAAGAATGATGGACCAATTAGGAGGCAGGGACAATGGAAATGGGTTGTAAGAATGAAAAACAAACAGGAAGAGGGGAACCAATGCAAAAGAGGGACGAATAGGGGAGGAAGGACTTATAGGGGAAGGGGGATGGCTGGAGAGGATGTGGGGAGTGCAGGGCCTGGGCTGAGCCTGGCTCATCTCTCTCCTAACAGGTGATTTCCCTGACACCATCCAGTGTGCATACATTCACCTGGTGTCCCTTGACGAGTGTGAGCGTGCCTACCCTGGCCAGATCACCCAGAACATGTTGTGTGCCGGGGATGAGAAGTACGGGAAGGATTCCTGCCAGGTGAGGTAACCGGGACCTGCCAGTTACACAGCCAGAGACAGGACGAAGGCACAAAAATATGACCGAGACAGGAAGAGAGAAACATGCGCCACAAGAGAGCTTTACAGAGACAGAGACAGGCTGAGGGAGAACCCAAGCCCTGAAAAGAAAGAGAGACTTAGTTCAACACAGACACACTCAGGGACATGCAGAGATATAAAGCCACAGCCAGCAGAGACAAGGTTGGAAGTGGCAGGATCAATAACCAGAGAGGCTGAGCGCAGTGGCTCATGCCTGTCACACCATCAGTTTGGGAGGCCAAGTTGGGAGGATCACCTGGGGTCAGGAATTTAAGACTAATCTGGCCCACATGGTAAAACCCTGTCTCCACTAAAAATACAAAAATTAGCCAGGCATGGTGGTACACGCCTGTAGTCCCAGCCACACAGAAGGCTGAGGCAGGAGAATTGCTTGGACCCGGGAGGTGGAGGCTGCAGGGAGCTGAGATCGAGCCACTCCAGTCCAGCCTGGGGACAGAGCCAGACTCTATCTTAAAAAAAAAAAAAAAAAAATCAGAGAGAGGCAGTAAGGAGGCAGATGGTGTGAGGGGACTGTCCTTCAAACGGAGCCCCCACGAATCCAGCTCAGAAACGACCAGGCTCTGGATGAGGGAGACACTAGCTGGGGAAAGGTGACTCCCTCCCGAATACTTTAACTTGGGTTTTCTCCATTGTCATCCATCCAGTCTCTCCTCTTTACGCCAGAATGACTAATGCATTGAAGGATGTGCAGAGACCAACCAAGAGGGAGACAGAGGCAGAAACAGAGACAGAGACGGGGAAAGCGATACATAGCAAGCTGGATGCAAAGAAAGGGTAGGCAGGCAAGACTGTCCTCAGCACACAAGGTGGAGAGGTGTCCCTGGACAGAATAGTGCAAGGCACATCTCTCCCTGAGCCTGCCCTAGCTGTCTCCCTCTGGGTCTTTTTTTCTTTCTTTCTTTCTGAGATGGAGTCTCACTCTGTTGCCCAGACTAGAGCACCGTGGCGCAATCTCAGCTCACTGCAACCTCTGCCTTCCAGATTCAGGCGATTCTCCTGCCTCAGCCTCCTGAGTAGCTGGGACTACAGGCATCCGCCACCACACCCGGCTAATTTTGTGGGGTTTTTTTAGTAGAGATGGGGTTTCGCCGGGCGCGGTGGCTCAAGCCTGTAATCCCAGCACTTTGGGAGGCCGAGGCGGGTGGATCACGAGGTCAAGAGATCCAGACCATCCTGGCCAACATGGTGAAACCCCGTCTCTACTAAAAATACAAAAAATTAGCTGGGCGTGGTGGCGCGTGCCTGTAATCCCAGCTACTCAGGAGGCTGAGGCAGGAGAATTGCCTGAACCCAGGAGGCGGAGGTTGCGGTGAGCCGAGATCGCGCCATTGCACTCCAGCCTGGGTAACATGAGTGAAACTCCGTCTCAAAAAAAAAAAAAAAAAAAAAAGAGATGGGGTTTCACCATGTTGGCCAGGCTGGTCTCAAACCCCTGAGCTCAGGTGATCCACCCACCTCAGCCTCCCAAAGTGCTGGGATTACAGGTGTGAGCCACTGCGCCCGGCTTCCCCTGGGTTTTATTATTTCCTCCTCCTCTTCTCTGCCTCCTCCTTCCTCTTCTTTATCTTCTTTTCCTCCTCCGCCGCCTCCTCCTTCCTCTCCCTCTCCCCTACACCCCTCCTCCCCCTCCTTAGTCTTAGTTGCCCTCGTCTTTTCTTCCTCTCTCCATCTGCCTCTGTACCTCTGGCTCCATTCTTAAATTTATTCTTTCTTCCTCTCTTGGCATCTTGGCATTTCTTCTGTGTGTCTGTGTTTGAGTCTCCTTTAGTCTCTCGCAACCTTTGTCTGTGCATGTATGTGTCTGTCTCTCTTTCTCTGTGTGTCTGAGTCTTTCTCTCCATCTTTGAGTGTCTCTGTCCCTTTCTACATGTCTCTGTCTCTGTCTCTCTCACTCCCGCAGTCTCTTGCTTTCTATCTGTATCTGACTTTCTCCCTCTTTCCCACAGGGCGATTCTGGGGGTCCGCTGGTATGCGGAGACCGCCTCCGAGGCCTTGTGTCATGGGGTAACGTCCCATGTGGATCAAAGGAGAAGCCAGGAGTCTACACCAATGTCTGCAGATACACTAATTGGATCCGAAAAACCATTCAGGCCAAGTGACCCTGGCATGTGACATCCAACTCCTGACCTACCTACCACCCCACTGGCTGGTTCCAGAACGTCTCTCACCAAGACCTTGCCTCCCCTCCCCTCCTGCCCAGCTCTGACCCTGACGCTTAATAAAGACAGCGACACGAGAGCCCTGATTCTCCCTGGTTTTACCCCAGCTCCATCCTGGCATCACTGGGGAAGACTTGATGAGTGAGGACTTGGGCCGAGGTCTTCCCCCTACCACTAAGAGCACACAGGAAAATCCCTTCTAGGCATCTCCCCTCCCTGATTATTCCACACGTTTGGTTTCTTCCTGCAGAGGCCCTGCCATGTGTCTGGAATCCCAGCTATGCCTCTTAGTATCTGTGTCTCCTTGGGATATACCTTCCTTTACTGTAGGTTTCTCATCTGAAAAATGAAGATAAGGTTGATATAGTCCCCATAAGGCAGTGGCTGTTGGGAAGATTTAAGGTTTCACACCCACGACATGCACAGAACAGCACCTGGCCCACCATGCCCTCAATAAAGAGTGAATTTTATTATGAGTGGGGCTTTTTGCTTTAATTTTACTTCTACCTTTCTGAAATCTAGATATTCTCAGTTCTCCTTTACAGCCCAATTTGATTTTTCCTCCCTTCCAGGAAGGCACCCTTGACACCTCCACCTTGCTACCCCTTAAGGATGGCTCTTGCCCCTACATTTTTTGTTTTCACTGAGATGGCATCTAACTCTGTCGCCCAGGCTGGAGTGCAGTGGCATGATCTTGGCTCGCTGCAACCTCCACCTCCCAGGCTGAAGTGATTGTCCTGCCTCAGCCTCCTCAGTAGCTGAGATTACAGGTGCACATCACCACACCTGGCTAGTTTTTGTATATTTAGTAGAGGTGAGCTTTCACCATGTTGGCCAGGCTGGTCTTGAACTCCTGACCTTGTGATCCGCCCGCCTTGGCCTCCCAAAGTGCTGGGATTACAGGTGTGAGCCACTGTGTCTGGCCTAAACTTATTTTGTCACAGCAAAAGCAGGGAGGGTGGAGGGTAGGAAGGCCACCATGCATGGGTAAGGGTGATGGGAGAGGAAGGCAGGGGTCAGATCCCTAAGGACCTCAGATGGCAGCGTGACAGGTGGGGACCTTCTCCTGAAGGCAATGGGGAGCCGTGGGGCCATATGCAGGATAAACCAGAGGGGAGGCACTGGAGGCTGGGGCTAGGGAGGAGGTTGAGGTGATGGTGCAGGGAGGAAAGATGAGGGTTGAGGTGGGGCTGAGCCTGGGAGGGCAGGAAAGCAAGGCTGGATATGAGCTCACCCCATGGAGAAGTTCAGGAGGACGGCATTCTCGCAGAAGGAACAGCATGTAGAAAAGGGGTGTGAGGGCACCTGGGAACCATCCCAGATGGCGGAGGCTGGGGTTTGAGGTGGGAGAAATGAATGACGTGGCTGGAAATGTAGGTCAGCGGAAGATGATGCCACCAAGTGCCAGGGAGAAGAACTCGGACCTGATCCTGAGGGCCTGGGGGAAGAAGGACGGGTCAGACGAGGGCTTCATCTTAAGAATTAAAGAAACACAACATTTTATCATGGCAACATGATGGAAGGAAGTGGATGACTTTTTGTTTGTTTTTTGAGATGGAGTTTTGCTCTTGTCACCCAGGCTGGAGTGCAATGGTGTGATATTGGCTCACCGAAACCTCCGCCTCCCGGGTTAAGTGATTCTTCTGCCTCAGCCTCTGGAGTAGCTGGGATTACAGGCGCCCGCCACCACGCCCCGCTAATTTTTGTATTTTTAGTAGAGACGGGGGTTTCACCATGTTGGTCAGGCTGGTCTCACATTCCTGATCTCAGGTGATCCGCCTGCCTTGAACTCCCAAAGTGCTGGGATTACAGGTTCGAGCCACCACGCCTGACCTTAGTTTTCTCACTTTAATGAATGAAATATTAATTACCATAATCAAAACAAATCTCAGAATAGGTTTTTGTTATTTCGAGTTTTGTTTTTTTTTCCTGTGCACTAAAACCAGTCTTAAGGGCTCTAAAATCTCTTATTTAACACAGCTCGGTTAGTTTTTCGCCCTCAAGGAATCAGGACCCAAAGAGGGCAGGATCTTCGGGCATCTTTGTCATTTTGTTCACGGACACCTCAGTCCGGCACATCACAGGTGAATGTTTAATTAACTCTTGCTTCCTAGTGAGGACAGAGGCAGGGAGACATGAAGACAGATGCAAAGAGCTGGAGGCAGACAGAAAAAACAGCCAGCGTGGAGAAGAGGTCAGTACAGGTGGCCTCGGATGGCCCAGGAGTGGGGACGGAGAAGCCACCTTTCGGGTTCCCTGCCCAATGCCCATTTCCCAAGCCATCTGCCCCTTTCCTGGCCTCTTGACCTATTTTCCCAACAACAGGTAGCCCTGCCCAACTGTCTCGCCCATGCCTGGCCACACCAGCTGGGCCCTGGCACCTGCAGGTTCCCAGACTGGGTCCCTGCCTCTTTCTGCTCCACGTCCTGGGCCCAGAGTGAAATCAGGAGAAGGAGTTGAGGGCTCCCTCTGAATGCAGGGAGAGGGAGGCAGAAAGATAGGGAGGGAGGAAGAAAGGGAAAGAAAGGGAAAGAGAGGGAAAGAGAGAGAGAGAGACACAGAGACGGAGGAGAGAGGGAGAGAGAGAAATTGTGGGGAGAGAGAGGGAGAGGGAAAGAGGGAGAGGAAAAGAGAGAGAGGGAGGGAAAGGGAGAGAGGGGAGGAGAGGGAGGGAGAGGAAAGGAGAGAGGGAGAGAGAGGAAAAAAGAGGGAGCAAGAGAGATGGAGACAGGGAGACAGAGGGAGAGAAAGAGAGACAGAGGAAGGGACAGAATGATACAGATGCAGGAACACACAGAGAACACACAGACAGCCTGGGAAGAATCAGAGTCAGAGAGAAAAGGGAAGATAGAGAAAGACACAAAGGAGACAGAGGTGTAAAGAAAGAGATTAACAGAGGATCCCAGACACAAAGGGGCAGGAGCACAGTTTTCAGGGTGGTGACTAGGACCATCCTCCTGATCATGGGTGGCCATGTGACAGGTCCCCAAAGCCATCAAATTGTGCCCTTTAAATATGCAGTTTGGGCCAGGCGCAGTGGCTCACGCCTGTAATCCCAGCACTTTGGGAGGCAGAGGTGGGTGAATCACTTGGGGCCAGGAGTTTGCCTGGCCAACCTGGTGAAACCCTGTCTCTACTTTTAAAAAAATACAAAAAAATCAGCCAGGTGTCATGGCGCACACCTGTAATCCCATCTACTCTGGAGGCATGACAATCACTCGCAGAGTTTGCAGAGAGCCAAGATCACGCCACTGCCCTGCAGCCTGGGCAACGGAGCAAGACTCTGTCTCAGGTAAATAAATAAACAAACAAATAGTTTGTTGTATCTCAATTATACCTTAAAAAAATGCCGTGAACAAATAGAGCAGAAGTGAAATAAAAAATAATAAATGGGCTGAGAACTCTAAGGTATATTTGACAAATCATACAGAACCTTTAAAAAAGAAAGAATCACAGAGGCACAGAAAGACAGAGGAACAGGGAGATAGCCACACTTGAGTCCCAAAGAGAGGGGAACAAGGCTGGAGAGGGACGGGGAGAGAGAGAGACAGAGAGACAGAGAGACAGAGAAAGAGACAGAGAGAGACAGACAAAGACAGAGAGAGAGAGAGAGAGAGAGAGAGACAGAGACAGAGAGACAGACAAGGAGACAGAGAGACAGAGACAGAGAGACAGACAAGGAGACAGAGAGACAGAGACAGAGAGACAGAGACAGAGACACAGAGACAGAGACACGGAGACACAGAGACAGAGAGAGAGACAGAGAAAGAGACAGAGAGACAGAGAGAGACAGACAAGGAGACAGAGAGAGAGACAGAGAAAGACAGAGACACAGAAAGACAGAGAGAGACAGAGTGAGAGAGAGGTGAGGAGGGAGAGAAAAAGAGGGAGGCTGGAGAGAGAAGCACGGAGAGATGGAAAAAGACTCTGGAAAAACAGAGAGGAAGGTGGAAGAAGGAGTAACGAGGGGACAGAGTGGTCAAATGAGAAAAACACAGGGCAGAAAGAAAGAGATCCAGGCGCCAGAACAGTTGGGGAGAGGCCAGATCCCTGAGGCTGGAGGAGGCAGGGAGGGGGCTGGCCTGGCTTCCGGAGACCCCTCCCCATCTTCTGGGCCAGGAAGGCAGGGAGTGGCACTCAGGACTGGGTGGGGGGTGCTCTGGGGTGGAGATGGGGGAGCAGGAGGAGTGATTGCTGAGGCCGATAGGCACCTCACTGCCCGGGAATGCGCCCCAGGGAGCAGTGCGTGGTTATAACTCAGGCCCGTGCAGCGCCCAACGCCCAGGAGGAGGCAGCGGCCGGGAAGGCGCAGGCCCAAGAAGTCCTCAGCCGAGCCGGGAGCAAATCCCCCACCCCCTACCTGGGGGACAGGGCAGGTGAGGCCTGGGGAGGGTGGCTCAGCAGGCAGGGAAGGAGAGGTGTCTGCACGCCCTGCACCCACAACTCTGTCTTCCCCTCCTCGCCCCCTCTGGAGGCTGCTAGACTCCTGTCTTCTGAATTCCATAGTGCCTGGGTCTCGGCACAGCATGATGGTGGGGCAGCGTCCTAGCTCCTCTCTACCTGGGGAAAATAAGGTAGGGGAGGGAGAGGAAGTGGGTTAAGGGCTCCCTGGATCTCCTGGGCTTCCCAGGCCTCTGACACCCCCCATCCAGGTGCAGCGGCCATGGCTACAGTAGGACGCCCCCGGATGTGGGTGCTCGGTGCTCTGATCACAGCCTTGCTTCTGGGAGTCACAGGTAACCAGAACTCTGGGGCGTGGAGGGGGTGTGGGCGGGGCATGGGACTGGGGGGACTGTACCTGCGGCACTAGAACGCCTGTCCCCTGGGGAACTGTGTGAGTCTGGGCATGACTTCAGGACTGGGTGAATGTGAGCCTCTGTCTGTATTTGTGGTTGTGTGATTGTATGTGGCCTTGTGACTGCCACGGTGTGTGAGGGAGAGGAGGACGCCTTTTCCCATATCAGGTGACCATGCAGCAGGTGGCGCTGACCCTTTGAGACTGTGTGTGTGGTTTTGTGATTGTGTGTGGTTCCACAACTCTGTGGGTGAATGTGTGTGGCACTGGTGGTGTTTACTGTGCGTTTGGCTGTGTGTGGCGACTTGGCTTTGTACATGACTGCTGGTATCTGCAGTGCCTGTCCCTGAGGTCCTGGGATTGCATGCAACAAAAGTGGTCGTCACCACGGAAATGTGCGACTGTGTGCCTGCAGGCGATTACCTGATTGTGGCTGAGTGTGACATTATGAGTGCCTACATTTGTGACCTTGTGACTGCCTGAAGCTCTATGTACTGGTGACTGTATGTGACTGTGTGTGTCTGTGTGAGGCTGTGTAAATGCTACTGTGTGTGTGATGGTGCCTGGAGTGTGTCTGGAGTTTCTGTCCCTGCCTGGAGGGATAGAGGGTGCAGTGGTGGCTGTCTCTGGGAGATGCGTGCTAGGTGACTGACTTGCACTGTGCCATGCTGGGCACCAGCA